ACGGCCTTCCCGACGCCCTACCCAACAGCTTTCCCGACGCCCTACCCAACAGCTTTCCCGACGCCCTACCCGACGGCCTTCCCGACGCCGTTCCCGACCCCTAGCCCGACGCCCAGCCCGACACCCCCTTGGGCCTCGTGCGCCCGCCCGTGGGAAAGCGACGGCCGGCCCTAGGATTGGGTCGGGCACGTCCCCCTACAAGCGGATTCTGGTAGAAAGAATGGACATGGAAAAGGCGCAACGAAAATGCCCCAACGTCGTCCCCAGTCTATTGTTTGACTAATTTTTTATATTCCTCCTGTAGAGGGACACGCCCGACGTAGCCCTAGGACAGAAGAACACCCTTCAAGAACACGAGGCCTTCCGCACTCCAGAACACAGAGAGCATCCAAGAGTAACCAGAAGAAGAAAACAACGGCATAAACACATAAGCTTTTGGCGCGGAGCGCCAATCATATATGTTTATGGCGTTTTTCTTCTTCGAACAACCTCCCCAGAATGCACAAAAACATCAGGCAACCACGAAGAACACTAAGGCACCCTCCCCGAACCGACCTCGATATTATAACCCCCGACCCGACTGTATATCGGGGATCTTCTGACCCGGGTCAATCCAGGCCTGGGTCCATCAGGCCTTGCAGAATCCTGCAGAATCCTGCGCCCAGATTCGGGTCAATGCGAAAGATCCTGCAAGATCCTGAAGGTTCCTGCACCCAAACCCAGGGTCAATGCGACCCTGGCCCTGCAGGATCCTGCAAGATCGGGCGCTCTGGCTGACCCCCGTTTGCGTTGACCCCCGTCTCAAGGCTCCCGATGCACAGGGCCACCTGCCTGGCCCGGGCCACTGCTCCGGCAGCACCCGCGAGGAGGAGCCACGCCAGCGGCCGGCGGACAGGGAGGGCCTCCATCTCTGACGTCTTTAGCATTTCTATCTTTAGGTCGGGCACGTCCCCCCTTACAGGCGGACCTTGGACGAAGCATTACAAAACAATAAGCACATACGCCACACATGGTTAAACACGGTCAAACCATCGTCCCCCTACTGTCTTTGGACCACTTTGGAATTTTCCTCCCGCAGAGGGACACGCCCGACTTGATTTCTATCTTCCGCTTTCTTTGTGGGAGGGGCGCGTGGCCTGCAAGGCGCCGCGGGCGCGCTCTCTGGCCAGACTCCGCTCGAGCCGGCGTGGCCCGCGGGAGGAGGGGGGAGGAGGGAGGGTGCGATGCGATGCGGCCACCGTTGCGGACAGCGTCCGGGCCGAGGGCAGACCAGGTGGGTGAGGCCATGGCCTCTAGGAGGAGGGGGAGGAGGAGGAGAGGGGGGAGGAGGAGGAGAGAGGGGAGGAGGAGGAGGAGAGGGGGAGGAGGAGGAGGAGAGGGGGGGGAGGAGGAGGAGAGGGGGAGGAGGGAGGGAGGACTGGGGGAGGAGCGAGGAGGAGCGCGAGGAGGACGAGGGTGGCGAGGACGAAGGGCAGGGGAGGGCGAGGATGGGGCAGGACGGGGAGGAGGACGGCGAGGAGCATCGGCTCCGGCCTCGGAGCCGAGCCGCGTCCACGCGCCGCTTCCGCGCATGCCTCCTGTGCGGGTGCGGCCCGCCGCCATGGGCTCCGAGTGCAGTGCCCTCGAGTCCCTTCGCTACGGTGGAACGTCAGAGGGGACTACAGTCGGGGTGCTGAAGAAGGAACCCTTTTCGTTGGGGAGGGGCTCGGCGTTCCTTAACGGTTGTGCAGTTTGCCTTAGATTTCCCGAAGGTTTTCCATGGGGAATCGAAGATCAACTTTTGGGAAAAAGGGGCCTCGTTCCTTATCTAGGGTTCCTTAGGTCAGCGCCCCGACTGTAGCTCAGGGGGTGCAATAGAGTCGGCGATGCATCGCCGCTAGATCGGCGATTGGCCTCCGGCAGCGAATCCGTCTGTTCCTGGGCGGGGTGGTCTGTCGGGCCCCTGTCGGCGATGAATGGGCGATTGGAGGTCGATGCGCCCCCCCCCCCCCTGGAGCCTACCCCCCCAACGTCGCGCCCCCAATGCAGCGCTCTCCGACTTTTGCTTTGTGGGTGCTCCCTATAAAAAAAAGCCGCAGGTGCCCACAAGATTCGCAAGCATTCCTGGGCGCTCTTCTGGGGCCCGCCGTGCGACTTTTCCGAGGCGGCCTCGGGCAAAGAGGCGTAAACGGTTGAACAGCTATCATGGAGGGTGCGCCGCTGGATCTCCCCAACGGGGGGGGGGTTCGGGACCCCCCCCCTCCTAAGGGGGGGAGGGGGGGAGGGGGGGGGGGGTTCTGGACCCCCCCCTTTAGTGTATTCAGGGGGATCCACTAGCGCACTTTCACTATCATGGGTAAGGGGACCAACTATGTTCGATGGTGGGTGCCGCAGCTGTGAGCATCATCTTCGGTGGATCTCCCTATGGGGGGCCACAGGCGGAGCGCCGTGTGGGAGGAGGGGGAGGAAGAGAGGAAGATGAGCAGGAGGGGCAGGAGGAGGAGGAGCAGGAGCAGGAGGGGCAGGAGGAGAGGAGGAGGAGAAGGATGAAAGGAAAAGAGGAGGAGGATGAGAAGGAGGAGGAGGAAGAGGAGGAGGAGGAGGAGGAGAGGAGACGCGGGGCGCTGTGGATTCAATACGAGGGCCCAACACCACGGCATGGTTGGGAGCAAGAGGAATTAGACTTTCGTATTATGTGCTTTTGGCATGTATGAAAAACGTCCACAGCAGACCAACAGACAGCCCCAACCGCCTCAAGACGGCCCTCCCCAGGACGGGCCTAATCTGCTCCCAAGACATCTCCTCTTGGGATCCCAACAGGGGGTTCGACCTGACATTTGGGACTTGCGCTCAAAGATGGCCCCCGAAACCCCAGCCAGCCCCGAAGATGCGCCCAAGAGACCCGCATTGGCCCCCAAGAGGTCCCCCAAATAATCCCAAGAAGTCCTCGAGCGACCTCAGAAAGGTACCCCAAGAGACCTCAAACGGCCTCGTGTCAGCGGCCCAAGCACGGTGGCACGATGGGCCGAAGGCCACTATCTAGGCATTGTGCGTGTTGAGTTCGGATACCCACATGGGAAAATGATGATTTAGAGAAGGAGGAGAAGGAGGAGGAGGAGGAGGGATGAGGGAGGACGAGGATATAGAGGGCGACGATGGTGATGACCAATTATAATGATCGATGATGGGGACATGGACGACAATCATACTATGAGGAGCGGGAGGGGGAAGACATCGACTTTGAGCAAACACGAGTCTTATACGGCGGCAGCGGTAACGCTGTAACTCGGAATCTGCCCTCTGCCGAGATAAGACAGGCCATGTGCTTTAAGATCATATCATATTTTGAATGAGAGAAATTCCCAATACAGCGAACCAATGAAGACGAAACGGAGGACAAGGGACCGGGGCCTTCGAATTGGTAGAAGGACACAAAGTGGCAGAGGACCTGGAGGAAGACGGGGTGGACCTCCGAATCAGGGGACGAAGCCCTGCCGAACGCGCGTCTCTGGCTTGAGTTAGACGCCCCTCCTGTACCGCTGGACTGTGCAGCGTGGGCTCGAGAGGGGGAAACGCCGTCGAGAATTCCAACGGTCGGGAACTCTTGCTCAGCATGTCGTTGCGCCGGCCCTGTCGACACGCTATGCCCTGCGAGTGGAGTAGCTCCGCCCCGCGGGGAGGGGGATGGCGGGAGGCTGGGCAACGCTCGGGACGCTGACGCTTGTAAGCGGTGAAGCGGTTCGCGTGCAGCGCCGAGGCGTGCTGGGGCCAGGGGCCGGGTGCGCGGCGTGCTCAGCCGAGGCTCCTGGCCGTGGACGTGGCCCGACGACGAAGGCGAAGACGAAGGACGACTACGACGCACGGGTACGCTGAAGTCCTCCCGCAGCGCCTCCGCCGCTTGGTCACATTGCCCTCCTCGCCTGGATTTCCCTCATCCTGTTGTGCATCTCGACATCCTGCCTGTCCAGCATGCCGTTGCAGCGGGTATCGGGGCAATCGAATGCCAGCAGGGTCGCCGCGAGCTCTTGTTCGTCGACCCTCCCAGGCTGCACAATCATGAGGGGGCCGAATCCCGCGCGTGAGATGTGTTGCTCGGAAAATCAGCCCCAGACCCCGCACTTCTGGGCCGTTCCGCAGCGTCTCCAGCTCCTCGCCAGTAGGCTCCGTCCCAAATTGCGCCAGCACCTTCTGACGCACACGTGCTTCACGCAGGACGGATACATAACTACCAATGAATCCAGCACAGCTGCCGACCACGACAAGCCCAATGCCCACGAGACATGTTGCTGCAATTCTGCTGCCTCGACTGATTGAGACCACTCTCCATGAACTACACAAGAGAACGTTACGCACGACCAGTACAGGATCGTGTGCCACCGCCAACCCTCAATGTCACCAACACTTGCAACACCAAGGGCAACAATCGCCATGAAGGCAGAGATGCACAGTTTCATATTGGTGTTCAAGCGACGCCTTGCCCCCTCGCAGACTGCAGCCGCGTGACTCAGGCGTGAGCCCCAGTGTACTTCAAGACTCTCTGGGAGCATCTGCCCAGGACTGTTTGTGGATTGATAATCGCTCCGAGGATGAAGAGATTGGGGCTTCCTGTGGGTGTCCCTGGCCCAAGGTAAGCCCAGCTCTCCGCTCCCTCTTGGAACCCCCGGAGAGCCCCCTGGGCTTCGCGAGGGGGTGCCATGGAGGCCGTTGGGGCCTCTTGGGCACACTGGGGACACAGTGGGCCAGGGACGCCCCTGGCAGCACCCGAGGAGGAGGCCCAGGAGGGGAGGGCGGGGAGTGGGCGAAGGCCGGGCATGTCCTCCCAGAGGCGGATTCGGGACGAAAAATGAACACTACTCAGGACATGCGCAACGATACTCCAAGAAGAGCTCGAAACATCGTCCCCACTTTTGTGTGTGTGTGTGTGTGTGCTCCCCCAGCCCCTGGCTGGCTGCCACTTCGCGCCAACCTTGCCCCCGTGGTTCGCCACGGTCGCCCACCGCGCTCTGGCCCGGCGCGCCTGGCTGCTGCCGCCCGCCGGCTGCTCATCGTCGAACTCTTCGGCGTCTGAGAGTACCTTCTTCCTCTCGGCCGTCCCCCCCTTCTTGCGCGCCGGCCAATTCGCTAGTTGGTGCCCCTACCTAGCTGTTACGCTGTTGCCGCCGACGAAAAAGTGTGTGTGTGTGAGAGAGAGGTTTTTTTTGTGTTGCAGATTCCCCCTGTAGAGGGACATGGCCGACTTAGGAGCAGGCCGACGCTGGGCTCGGCGGCGCGAGGCCACCGACTCCATTGCGGCGGCGCGCTCGCGCTCGGGACACCGCGCCGAAGCCCACCGAGGGCGCCGCCGCCACGACGAGCACCCCCAGGAAAACGAGCAGTGCTTGACGGCGAGCGAGGGGGGTGGGGGGGGAAGTGAGAAAAACAGGGCCTTCTCGGGAGGCTCGGAAGTCCCCTGGCCTTCTGAGAAGTTTCCTGAACCTTCCCCGAAGGCAGACGCAGCTTCTCCGAAGGCGCAAGGGCTTCTGAGAAGTCCCGCCGCCTTCTGAGAGGGCCTTCTCCTTCTCACTTCACCCCCTCGCTCGCCGCCGAAGTGCGACGGCCAACTGTACAGCAGGCTCTGCATCCTTGAATGAAAAATCGCCGTATCCCACAGCAGTGATGGTCTCGACCGTGAAGTACAGGGAGAAGGCGACGCCCCAGCCCTGTGTTCTGCCAGTGAGGATGCCCAGCAGCAGATAAGCAAGTACCAGCACACACCTCCAGCATAGCAGATGCCAAGCCCGCCTGCCTAGCACGTCAGAATCCTCGACATGGGCGCGCGCATGGCCTGCGTTGGTCGAGCTCGCGGCCAGGGGCAGGGACACTCCTCTGTCGTCGGCCATATCAGGTCTTAGGGATGCTGACTTGCTGTGCGACAAGACACATTACCCGGCTCTGCTTGATATATATATATATATATATATATATATACATACAGAGAGAGAGAGAGAGAGAGAGAAGCTGGGGCCAACATGGCTACCGAGACACGGGGGGATGAGTTAGACGACGAACAACGCCGTAAACATGAACTTGTGGCGCTCCGCGCGGATTCCTTGGATCTGCGCTGGACCCTCTCCCTGGCGCGCGGAGCGCGTCACGGGCGGCGCTGGAGGCGCTGCCGGGGGGGGACCCTTCGCAGATCCAAGAAAGCCGCGCGGAGCGCCAAAA